TAGGCTGTTATATCAACGAAGATGTCAATCATTATATTCTTAGATTTTCTGGGCTATACGGTTCTGTTATAATGGTATCTTCCTTCGTGTTTCCAGGGGAAACAAGAATATTACCAATTTTAAGGATTAAAACGTCTAAAAAATAAAACATCACATGCGAATCATACAATTTATCATCTAAAATCCCTTCAATTTTGAAACTACCTCGGCTAATCTTTTGAAGCATCTCTGCTACGCGCGAGACAGAGCCCAAATACTCCTTTAGTCCACTAATAATCCTTCGACTATCACATGGGCAATTTCAAGCTTTTCTAGAAAGTGTTCATTCTTCTTGTGCTGTAAAGTTAACCGCTCATCTATCATGAACCCCGCCCGTAGAGGGCTTTTAGGCTAAAAATCCCGTGACCGCTTGGCGCAATGGTAGCGCGTTCGACTCCAGATCGAAAGGTTGGGCGTTCGATCCGCTCAGTGGTCAAAACTTTTGCGTCTAGTATTTGTAGCAGAAAAAGACTTCAATAATCAAGGAAATCTTTATTTAGGGATTTGCTCAACAATATTATGCGTTTTTGCTGCTATGAATTCAGAATATATTTTTTACTCTATTTTCGTGTTTATTTTGATACTCTTTGGCTTCCAATTTGCTTGGAATGATTGGTTTAGATTTTTTACACTAAAAAACTGATCCCTGACCATATTACCGAAATGGGAAAACGATTGCTTTTATATATGCACATTTCATGTCTTATGAATATGACAATTATCAATCATAATTTTATACAAAAAGCCTGTGAAGCCCTATTTAAAACATATATACTTGATGTTTTTTCGTGCATATTAAGGCTGATTTTGAAGAACTTGTTTTAGATATTCAGCTCATAGATACATCTTCACGGCACAAATTTTTCGTGCACATAATTGCAGCAAAAATCTACATCTTTCTATTCTAGGCTCATCCTTTGCTATGCATACACAACACTTAATGATAGCTCCTGCCAACAACTACTAGTGTAATTCTCCACGGTAACTTGTTTAAACTTCCATGAATGGACGATGTGGACGTCTCCACCCATCTGAATAGAGCACAGCAGCGTCGTCACTTAGCTGCTTTATCTCCAGCTCTGATCGCTGGACATTTGCGTCTGCAAACGTTCTATTTTTATCTGGAGTAGCCTATTAGGTGACGCTTGACTTGCTATTTACGTCTTTGATTAAAATCTATTTTTAGACGCCTACGTCTCCTTTGCAAATACTGCTTTTTGAAGGTGTTCGGATAATTGTTTAGGAAAATCCAAACATTGATATATTAGGTTGTCCGGAAATTAATGTCCGTTTTAAATTTCAACCGTAATAAGTCAAACACTTTTCATTATTGAATAGGCATCAAAGTACCATTTGATAGAGCAAAGCAAGCTCTACAAGATGGCAATCTTGCTTTAGCAAGAGCTTTAATCTACCTCGAGTTTCGAGCCAAAAACTGAAAGGATTTAACTGCCCGAAAAATCGAGAAAAATCATAACTCATTTCATAAGAATCCTGCAAAAATTCTAACTTGCTCACGTAAACATTATCCACATAAGACATATATGTACGCCGTTGCCGTATTTTTTCCTCTGTTAGAAATCAAGAAAACGGAAATTTTCGTGCATTCGCCAAAGTAATGCTGCGCCATCCCCACATATGTAGATGTATACTACAAATCTGCAGAAGTGCAAACGTGGACTTTCAGCTCTCTACAAGCTTTAGTTCTCGAGAAATTCGAATTTTAGCTTGGACCACCTGACTAATGGAGGCTATATTCAATATTTCTCGAGAAACAAAGCCTGTAGAGAGCTGAAAATCTATGTTTGTACTGCTACAGGTTTGTAGTATACATCTACTTATGTGGGAACGGCACAGCATTACTTTGGCAAATGCATAAAAATTTCCGTTTTCTTGATTTCTAACAGAGGGAGAAATACCGCAACGGCGTACATATATGTTTTATGTGGATAGTGTTTACGTGAGCAAGTTAGAATTTTTGTAGGGTTCTCATGAACTGAATTATGATTTTTCTCGGTTTTTCGGGCAGATAAATCCTTTTAGTTTTTGGCTCGAAATTCGAGGTAGATCAGAGCTGTTGCTAAAGCAAGATTGCCATCGTGTAGAACTTGCTTTGCTCTATCGAATGGTACTTTGAAGCCTATTCAAGAATGAAAAGTTCTTGACTTATTGCGGTTGAAATTCAAAACGGACATTAATTTCCGGACAACCCAATAAATTGTTTATACTTTTTCAAAAAAACGCACACTATAATATTCAAAAATTGACCTTTTGCGAGATGCAAACCAACAAAAAACAAAAGTTTCAATCTATTTACTCTCATAATTTACTTGTAATCTGATACTCATACTCATGTGACGGTTCCTTCAATTTTTTTCTGAGAATTCGCACATGTAATTTGAGCATCGGCCACAACAACCTTCTACAAATAATTAATTCTGGATCAAAGAGTTTTTAAGATATCGCTGAGTCATTTGCAACCTGATATGCGTATCACACAGCATGCGTGCTATTTGACGACTTGTAAGATTAGAACCTGCTCATTTCCAGCGCTTGCTCCTTGATTTCTTGTCTCTTTTGATTTGATTGGTTTTGCATGCGTTAGCAATACATTTTTTACGCTGGATAATAATAATTAATAAGGAATAAGGAGTTACCAGTAAGGTATCCTTGGTTGCAGCGCTAATATGCAACCTGGGCCTCAGTGATAAAAAAGACCATTCATACGCATTTACATACTTGACTAACAATAAGTTCTCGAGTTTTTCGTGAACTCAAAAAGGATCTAAATGGGTTCTTGGCCACCAAATTTTCGCTCGAATCAGTAATTTTCCGGTTTTCTTATGTCGAACATTCCTTTGGCAATGTGTGGGTCTTAGTGTAGGTTGCGGTAGGAAATCAAATATAAGAAGCTGAAATTTATTTTGGCCTGAGCTAGAGTTTATCCAAGCTGATCGCGAAATAAGTTCTCATTTCGAGAATTTTCAGTTCAGTAGAATTTTTTTTTCTTGAGGTACGGTAGAACTACAATATGGTGCGACTCGTTCGATGCTGTCATTAACATCCATTTCTACTTTCCTGGATCTAGTGAAAAATCTCTGGCAACGCTTCTTTGGCAGTTTCGGCTCCATGTGCTTGATATGAGCTTGATTACTGTAACCCAGTAAAACCTGTTCCAGCGGTTCAGCGAGACAGCTTCAATTCCTTTCACAATGTCGAAAATATAGCTAAAATAGAATTTGAAGGCACAGAATGAGTATGTCGCACCCAAGATAAATAGAAACATAAAATTTTTTATCCCGTTATTTTTTTAGGAATGAGTACGTGCTCAAAAGTAAACAAAACATAGATAGGGCTGTCAAAGCTCGCATCTAAAACATTTTGAACCAGAACTTTTGATTTTTCGAGTTTTTACTTCTTTATATCGAGGTCAAATAGAAACAGCACTGCTTTACAGTATTGTGGATCTTTATTTCATGGAATTAATTACACATGCTAGTATTCTCCAGCAAACAAGATATAGACATGGCTCCCAGCTTTTGTCTGGACATGATCCACAGTTTGATTTGCATAATGTTTCAGAATCACGTGTTTCTTTCCATGTTCATGAACAAATACTAGAATAATTCAAAATGTTCGTGTATTAAGGACCACATGTCTTTCAAAAAGGCCATATGCCTGCAAAGCACTATTCGTGCAAATGTTCTTCATTGTTCTTTGTCTAAGCTTGCTTTGTCCATTCCAGTCTTCAAAAAGAAAACTCCCAAATAAATCAGTTACTCGAACAATCCTGCCCCTTGCAGAGAATGTAATCCTTTTTTCTTTTTCAAGAATTCTTAGTTGAAACCTTACTTAAGAAAGCTTTCGGATTACGATTTTCGGACTCTGTTCTTCGAATTCATCATAAAAAAGAAGCTCCTTTTTTTTCTTTTAGAGAACAAGGCAACGTGGCTTTTAAGTCTTTTTGGGCCCTAGCATAAATTTCAGAGACAAAAGCCTTTCTTCAGTTCAGACTAGACATACTTTCTGGTTTCTGATCCTCTCCTACACAACATTTGTCAGACAAAACACTGTGTGAGTATGTGCGAATTCCCAGCCCATTGTTTTCCTAACGTTACCAGGTGTTCTGCAGACAGCCGTTACGTAGCTATTTAGCCGGAAGTTCATCCATCTAAATTGTTTATTGAGCAATTGATAGTAGTACCATGGCACTCGTTTGTCTCACCGGGTTAGCCTTTTTTTTCTTAGAGCAAAAACTCGATGCACTTGAGAAAAAATCTCTTTTGCTGGAGCAACAATTTTGTAAAAAGGGAGAGAAAGTGATGGTATCATTTATTTTACAATTAGAACTTCTCGGATTATTAATCGCTAAGAATACTCACTCATGAAACTTAACACTATTCGGGTGTTGTTACAGTAAACCAAAATGATGGTTGTACAAAAATGTGAGGATAACTACATATATATTTTTTATAAGCACATATATTCTTATTTTATCCAAAAGCTTAGAATTAGGGCTGTACACACATATATACAGCATCCAGTCAATTTTATTTTGTAAATTGTTTTATGACCGTTATATGTTTCGGGCTTATTTTTTATCAAGCAATGCCGTTTGGAGCTTGAAGATCCTATACACCTTTTGTATAAGAAAAAGAGACTGGGAAAGAGTAGAATTTAACTTTTGGTATTTTTAGATTCCATAACATAATACAAAATTTCCATAATTATTTCTATTTCTATTTCTATCATTAACGAAGAGCTTTTCGTAACTCTCATTAGCCATGAATTTCTTCTCAATGCACATCCGGATCTTAATTAGACCTGCTGACTGCAATTATGATCTGCTTCTATGAAAGTGTTTACATCTATCGCATAATTTCTGATCTCTTGTTTAAATACGGAAAGATGCAATTATCCATCGGATATAATTTCTGAGGATGGTAGTCATTTCATCTATTGCAGAGCCATGGGATCCAGCATGGCGAAAAGCAAACGATGCGAATATGTGGATCACTGGCATCGGCCATCGAAGGGTGAGTAGTTCGGACTGTAATTGGGAAAGCACATTTGAGGGCAATTTGTTTACGAAAGTTCACAAATGAGATTCGAGGAAATCGTTTCGAAGATACATCTAACAAAATCTTCAAATTTTGAGAGTACCAATGCCCTCGAATTCGATGAACAAAGTGCGTCAAGTAATGGACCCTCCAAAGGGGTCTAACACAAATTTCTAGTATCATTATTGATGTGAAGAAATTTATAGGCTCGATTTTCTTCCAAAAGTAACCTTGAACTAAGCAGCTCTCTGCTAAATAAAAGTTGATGAAACATAGGCACTTCCAAATGTTTAGGGCAATGGGATTCAAGCTTGGAGCAAATCATATATTAGGTTGGCATTAAGAATACAAAGGTAGGACAAACGAGTAGATGATTTACTATCTAATAAGGCAAACCAGGCTCTGCAAATTGTTCACCAGATACCCGCATAGATCATGATCTAAGATTGTCCGAAGCCAAAATAAAACCATCTAAACGCCCAAAGAAATTTCTGCTTAAAAAATTCCTAAAGATTTCCTACTTGCGCCATTATGCCCGTAATAGAAATGCCACCGCTCTGAGAGAGTTTTTAGGAATTTTTATTCATCATGTGCTAAAATTAGATTAAATTTATTTGAAACTTTCAAGAACCAGACTTAATTGCATTTCTTTTTAAACTCACCGCCGAAAATTCTTGGAAACTCTCTCAGTATCTCAATGGTAGATTAAGACACTAAACTAGGTAATTCCATCACAACATCACATTCGTTTACCATTCCCCATAATAACCCTTTTTATTTTACTATAAGCATAATCCAAGCAAAAGCGAGCAGCTTTCTGCTGACGTCAAAAACTCACAGAAATTATTTTTGATCAACCCAATAGGATAAATGAGCCAATTAATGGACCATTTTGAGAAAGCAGTAGTAATTCATTTGATCCCAAAACAATCGTATTCCTTCCCTCAAAATCTTTTCAATGGAATCACAACCATAATCCAAGCAAGCGAGCATTCTTTTGACGTCAAAACTCATAAAACTTATTTTTAGCCAGCTCAATAGGACAAATTATAATCATCTCCAAGAAACCATTAATAGGTTGATTTATCGCTCTCGTTTACAGATATTGGAAGCCATTTTTCAAAAGAATACGCTGAGTATTGGCGACGACCAGCCGCTGAAAAAGGTGCTGAGTTCTCAATGATCAAAAACGAATACTCTTACATATCTGGCAGTTACGGTAAGTTTCAGGGATAATCTTGACATTTCTTACAAAAATTTCAAAGGAATAACCCTAAAAATGGTAGTCAGTTGCTAATAATTTCTGGAGTTATTTACGGCTTCTTCACCCCAAAAAGTGAAATTTCCTACATTATTCAAGATTTATTTCCACGTCTTTTTAAATTTTCATAGCATGATATTTTCAGGCTCATCGGGAGCAAACTCAAACCGCTATTCGACTTTTGCATCGTCTCGATGACGCAAATCTCTCATGACTATCCTATTTTTGGTTTATGTATATATCACTGTCGCTTTACATAAAAATATTTCTACTTGTGTTTTCGTCATCTTTTTTCATAAATGACGCATCTCCTATTTGACAGGATTCCAGCTGACATGACAGGCCTTCACCATATCGCCCTAGGATTGCATATTCTTCTTTAATCGAAGGGCATATTATATGGAAATCTAAATATGTATATGTTTGCATAGAACGGACCTGAAATGACCTGGAATTAAGACAATTTTTTGCATGCTCATCGGAAATTTATGGAAATTGGCAGTTGATTGGTGCTTTTTTTGCCAATTCTCAATTTTTGGAACATGAAGCTGCCGGAAGATTGGTATACTCATTAATATTTCTCAATCCTGCAATCTAAAGGGAAAACTTATTGATGTCGTACCAACACTCTAAAGAGAAAGGATCAACGAAAAATGTTATTACGTTGCAATTGTTTCAATGCTAACGGAACTTTTACCAAGAAACCTCCGTGTCTTTAAAAGGTTTTAGACACTCAAAACATCTCTTTTTCCCTCTGCTTGAAGTTAGATTATACCGAAGCTATGTTGTCTGAAGAAGTAAGCGTGGAAGCAATACCTAAATGGAAAATATATCACAGTTTTCTGCCTTACGAAAAAGAGTGAAATTACCTAAAACTTATGAATAGACGAAGGAGTCATAGTCCTAAGACCAAAATGTTTACAGCCGCTACACCAATAAATTCCACAAAGTGCTTTCTGGCACGAAAAAACATAGTAAATATTATAACGAATTCTTTAGTGTTTACTCTATCAGTGTCCTAGTAAACGCTAATCGTCGTATTTGATAAACTTTATTGCCAAAATATTCTAGAAAGAGCTGCATGAGGTTATCTGATACGTTAAGCAATAAAAAAAATGTTGACATTCCTATATTGTATGTACGGATATGCTGCGATAACTAAAGTCGTACCCCTTGATTCAAGGATTGGCGGCTGGAAGGCGGGGCTTCGAGGCCTAATCAAGGCTAGGGTTCAATCGGAGAGCACGCTCGCGAGAGAGGCGCAGACTGCGTCGCGGGTGCGAGCGTCGCGCTCCAACCGCCAATCCCGTTGAATTAAAAGGTAGATGTTGTTTTCGATTTACTACAAGATTGGTAACAGTACTTTATTGGCTGACGTTGATGTTTCGGCTTTCAACGCCTTCTTCGGAGTCTAGAAGGTCGAAGTCATAAGTTATGCTCTCAGACGTCAAGAACTATGACGAATTGATTAAAGAGAAGTTTGGTCTAATTTAAAGAGCAGAACCAGAGCCAGAAACACATTTTATTGACCTTACTCGTAGCGCAAATGGTAGTTGAAAAAGACCACATTATGTCACACTGTGCCTCAAACTCTCTTTTATACGCAAAACCACATAGGGTTTGATAAGGTACGAGTTAAGAGATCGATGCACTCGTCTTTTCTGTTCATTTATTGGATTTTTCGATTTTGGATTTTTGCATTTTAAAACGCTTTCAACGTTTTGCGTGCTAGGATATCGGACTCAAGCGACAGGAAGTTCATCCCAATTTGCTCTTCATCGTTTTTGTGGCTTGTTTCGCAATGCTGCTTCAGAGGTGTAGGGGACCTAGACTTATTTACCCATCTAGATGTTCTTTGATACGAACACAAAGACGGCGGACGATCTCTCCGATGTAGGTGTAATCTAAAGTCGATTTGAACCCAAATATTCGTTGATGAAAAGAGCAAACCGGTCTTTTATCGGCTTTCGTATTATTTTAGTAATCTCTCAACACATATGCTAAAACTCTAGCAATTTACGGTACAAGAGATCCCCTGTCTTCTTGATGCTCTTGCACTTGAGTTTATTATTTTCTTGGTATACAACTGTTGTATGTCCCGAACAGACGTATGATCTTGTCATGAGATTGTAATAATTGGGACTAGTACGCATCACCGACAAACGCTTTATTAAGGACAGCAAATAAGAAGCTGTCTGGATGAATGATTTATATGTCAAAAACAAGTTGTAATAATGAAATGTTCTCTGCTCACATATTCAGCAAGGTTTTTGTTGTTTTTATTCAAAGAATTTACTTAAGAGAAGAACAAGAGCGACATATTTGTTACGTGCCTTGAAAAATCGGTGAATCTCTGAGAAGAATTATTTTTAAGGATTGTTTCCTATCAATTTCTCTGGAATGCACGATTGCGTCAGTTTTGCTGAACTGAGCTACAGTAACCAAATGGATTTGCTGAAGTCTATAAGTTTAGATTTCAGTTTACAAAACATGCATGATTTTAACCCATTGACGGCGACGCCTAATTTTGCGTGGCGGCGCTGTGGGACGCGATTTTGCACAACACCTTGAGAGAGAGTTTTGTGATTATTTACGAAATGTAGTTGTTGTGTAAACAAGTACAATCATCATCTTCTCGGACTGAAGTCTACAGGTTCCCAGAGTGCAAAAAATGGAAAAATTGAATTATGGAAAAAGACTAGACTTGGAAAGAATATGATTTTGAAGGGGTGTGGGCTACCAGTGGTCCACATCGACGTCAATGGGTCAACATGCTTTATAAAGAACGCCTTTACTAACATTTTTTGCTCCTGGTCCTAGCGAAGCTCGAATTAATCATTTCTCAAACTTTTTTGTTATTCCCGCATAAATTTAAAGCAGATTGCTGCTAGTAGCTTTTATTTATGAACAAAAATAAACATAACAAGATATACATTTACATAGAAACGACTGAATATGTACATACAAATAACAGAAATAAAATGCACACACCCATGTTTGATAAAAATTCGTGAAATATGTCAGGTCTAATCTTCTTGCTCTTCGTAGCCCACTAAGATTTTCCGAAGGATGACACAAACTGAGAGTATCGTCGACCGTCTCGAGGTGACGAATCTAAAAAAGAACGAAATTACTTTTTTATTTGGCAGATCCTGCATTTCTAGATAGTGCAGTTGCTCATTGAAGACTTTCGCGCAATTTATTTTTCTTTTGCGAAAAGATGCTTTGACCCAGGTTCAAGTGACCCTGGTCACATGGTTGGATGTACTTTCAAATATAATCAGAAGATTTGAGGACTAAGAAAGTTCAGGCATAAATTACAGCTTCCATTCTATCAACGAAATTCTGCTGCTCACACGCTAGATTGAGACTTCCTTTGGTAATTTGATTTGAGGTTAATATAGTTTGTGACGCAGATCATCAGCTGTCGGTGCAAAGTTTCGAAACTTTGGAACGCTTCCTTAGATGGCAAGAAGTTTTATTTGCACCATATTTGAAAAAAAAAACAAAAGTTTTTGGACTGTTGCTGACGTTTTTGTTCGAAACTCTTACTTAAACTATTCAAAAATACCAAGAAAAATGGGTACTTATTCTATTTAACGGAATTTGTAGCTTATCTTTAACGCACTGGTTCATGAGAAAATAATAATATTTTTTGAAATAAAAACCGACTCTTTTTCGTCTCTGCTGATTTTTTTTTGAATTTTCAAAATTTTGGCCCTATGGAAACAAAGCTCAAACTCACAAGCTCCTGACTGGGTTGAGTACGCATTTCTTTCCATCGAGTAATGCGATGAGTTCTTTGATGTTCCCGACCAATAATGTGAGTATTCCTTTGAGAAATTTGTGCCGACGTCTGAAAAAGTGCAAAAATTAATTTCTCCCCATGTTGTTTTCTACTTATCGTTAGCATAGTTTGCCTAAGTGCGACTTGTGACTCGAAAGAATTCCCCAGACGACTAAGAATCCGAGGTGAATAACAAGAGAGGCTAAACTAAAGATTTACAGGAGCAGATGTGCGTTAATGTACTTCTCACATCGGAGAGGAAGATGTGGCTAGACAGAGTTAGTTGACTGACAAGAGAGCCGTAGGGCCTTATTCGGATATCCAATCTTCTCGGCATTAAGAGGCTTATAGTGTGGAAGTTAGCACAGAAAGCTTTTTTGCTTCCTCGTTCAGTTTCCGGGCGAAAATAGAAGAAAGGAATTTTTCACATGCTGCAGCAAACTTTCGCAAATCTCGGCAGCTTTCTTATCCAGCACCGTTTACGGATAGAGATAAATAAACTAAAAAAACCAAAAATGTCATATGTTAAACATAAACAATGATAGTGCAAAAGACAGATCGAGACAAGATGTAAATTCTACTTTTATTCCCAAACGAAGACAGAGTTTTGCAAGTCTTCGTTTGGGAATAAAAGTGAAATTTATTCGATCATGTCTACCACGAGTTTTGTTTTTACTACACATGTTTTAGTTTACATTCAATACTGTAGAAGTTATGTTGCCTTTCTGTTCTGATCTGACCAAAATTTTTAGGCAGTTTTTGTTTGTTAATTTTCTAATTCAAGATCTTCGAATTTTTGCGGTATTTTGGTATTTTTTGATGTTAAAGGAAACGAAGCTGAATTCAAATATTTATTGTTCTACCCAAAACAGATTAGATTGTTACAAAATCCAAGATCAATGTCTGAGAGCTTCTAGGTATTTATAATGATGAATAGTAAAAGAAAAGTGGAAAAATGTTCAAAATTCCAGATTTCCGGAAATTTAACTGATAAGGAATGCTAGAAATTGGCTTTTCATTTTTTCAAAACCTTACTTGTAAAATACCGATTCAGACCAAAGGTATAACAAAGATTATCCTAATACCATTTGTGTCAACTTTCAGGTGTCATAGCCAAAATTTGAGAATATTCATTGGATCTCAAATACAATATTGTTACAGGAAGGTATACTTGAATAAGTTGCAGCGAACAAAAATGATTTTTTGCAACACTAAAATATTTTTATGATAAATCCAATGAATAACTTACCACAGCGACGTGTCCTTTGACCACAATAGGGTGAATAATGCCTACTGCTGCTGGATCCCATGGCGATGACTTCTGGAAGTGTAGTACTTAGCAGTTATACAACTGTCAGCAAATCCTGAACTCCTATCGCCTCTTATACCCTGACGACAGGGGCGTGTCGTGGGTAATTGGCGAGCACGAGCACGAGAAGAGCAACGATTGAGTTCTGAGTACAAGAAGATGTGCGAACGCTGTTTGGAGGACGGGGGGGGGGAGAGGGGGTGTGACCACGGGTGCACATGCACCCGACGAAAATAGTGGCAATACTTCAACGAAAAATATGGCCGGAGTAGAAATGAATAGCAGCTGTTGTGCACTAAAGAAATTTGCGCTAGGGTGAGAAGAAGATTGAGGACTTCTACCGAGCAAAAACTCTTCCAAAAAACTTGTTATCCCTCTCTATTCAACCAGTAAGATACTGGAAATGCGATCATAAGGAGTAAGGAGTCTCCCACTCATTCATAGGTCACGGACGAACTCTAATAATACCAAGGAAACCTTCTAAAATTGCAAGGCAAAGTGGATGCTTAGCGATTTTTGAATTTATTGTTCACCATGGCCTTACTTTTGAGGGTTTTTTCCCAATAAAAGTGGCGGAATAGCCCAATTCTTTCAGAAAATTTGAATCATTTTCCCACAATTCAAAAAGAGTTCGTCCTTTTGGGTCTTAATATCTATCAAGCCTTTCACAAAAGGAACTTGATTCCACCTTCTTCTCAAAATGCCCAAGATATGGGAGTCACCAATATGAAGAGCAGCTTGACACAAAACTCATATGTTTATATCGAGAATGAATAGATTATGATAAAATAGCTCAAACATTCCATGAGCCTGAAGGCTTTTTGGTTTGTCTGAAGAATTCAGGCTCGTTTTTTTTGGTATTCCAAACGCAGAATAGATGGATCAAATTTCTTCATACTCTATTCTGCATGAGATAATTCTTCTTCTATTAGATTGGCTCGAAAGTTCTCGGACATTTTCAGGCGAAATCTTCTATTTCTCAAAATCTGATGCATATACATCCAACGGAGATACCTTTCGATAGAGCAAAGCAAACTCTACAAGATGGCTACCGTAAGTTTGCATCAAGGATCTGAGTCGTATTGAAGGCTTGAAAAATTGGCAAAAATTCATATCTTCGTTTAACAAATATGTTTTTGTTTTTAATCTTTTTTACAACTGTACGTATCTCATTACATCAAACATTGCTGACCGAACGCCTTGTCTTTGGACTTGTTTCCTAAAAACTATTTCAAGCCGAAAGCTAAGCTTATCTCTTTTACACTGAGGTGATGTGGAATGATGGCGTGCGTCTAAGAATAACACGGTGCATCTTAATTTTTTTTTCTCCCGACAAGATCTCAGAGATAGAGAATTGGGAATGTGAAAGACTATCAAGGTAAACATAGTGTCGAAAATGACAACCGTCTGAGGATTCGACTCTTATTGTTAGTCTTAGAAGATAGAAAAAAAATTGAGGCAGAAATTTCATTGACGAAGCGAGTACTTTTTGACAACATCCTATTAGACTCTGCTGCCCAAATTCAGTTTTTTTTTTCAATTTTTATAGAATCCCATGAAAATTAGAGCATTCTACGCGTTCGAGAACATTTTTGCATTGCGGCATATGCTTTTTTTACTTTGTTGAATTCGAAATGCTTCAAATAACCTTATCGGTGTAGAAAATATGTTTGTAGGAAAAAGCAAACATTTGCTTACCGTACTTAGCTCACATGATCGAAATGGCAGGTTGATTGGCGAAACAAAAATTTGTCAGACCCAAAGAATTTTTTCATTATGGCAATTTCCTCGTTTGAAAGGCAGTAATGTTTATGTCAGGCTTGTTTTATGACGTGAGTTTTATGTGCTAGCCTTAAATGATTGAATAGCTTTGACGCAAATAAACCCTGAAAGTTCCGCGTTCAAGAAGAGAGACCTCTGAGAGCGTTTTTCTCCCTTACATGAGTCTACATAAGAATCCCAGTACTCGTTTTTTCGGAAGTAAGTCGTTTTCAGTTGATTTATTGCTATCACAAGCGAAAATCGCACTCACTCCTCGATAAAAACCCATATTTCACGAGATCTACTTCCTTATATGCTAGAGGCGATAGACGTCTCGGCGCCTTTGGGACAAATTACATTAATGATGTTGTGTTTCATGGACAACTCGTCCATGAATGAAAGACATATGTTTGATATAACACATGGTAAGTCACAAGCTAACTCTATCAAAAGTTATGGGAGGCATAGAAGTTTCCTTCTTCGTCCAAAATTGGAAAGCGAGAGGGTGGGGGAATGACAAAGAAGTACAAACAAAACTTCATAACTTAGATCCTGATTTTGGAATAATCACAAATGACCTTTGTTTGTGTTTTTTCACATGTTTAAAACCAATTTCCACAAAAAAGCACAGAGATCAACGGAAAAAATTCTCAACGAGAGGTTATGAGAAGAATGCTCCGAGTAAACATCTTATTGCCACACATGACAGCTGCCTTTCGTGACATATGCTCTCAACATTCTTCCTTCCGTAACCGATATCCGGCAGAATATGATATCTCTAAATCTTTGCGAAAAACTGAAATTTGCTTCAAAAAATGATCTTGTCGCATTCCTACTTGAGTTTCAGCAAATGAGGATGAGTAGACAGCTTTTTCAAAGCTGATTTATGATTTATTGTCGAAGATTAGCCAAGCAAACCAGGAAATATTATACTAGCAAACTTATGGTAAGATAGACCATTCCGAACCAGAACGGGTCAAAATTTCACATGCAAGAATAGCAGACATTCAAGCCGTATTGAAACTTACCTTAGCACCGTAATTTAATACAGGATGGAATTTTTTACGAGACAAGGAGAAGCATGGACGGGTAACTCAAATATTTCGGGCAACGTTTTGCTGAAACTTTAGGTTGTTCGAAAATTAGTGCATGTTTTTGTGAGTGTTTGTTTTTTCAAATGAACCGATCTCGTTAGCGCCTTCATGCAATTAACTTCACAAGCTATCAGGCATCTTACAGCCCCTCGAAGAAAGGTAAAAAAATGAACTTTGTTTATCCTGTAAATGCTTGCTTTTAGAAAGTTTTTGCGTAGCCTCCCGTGCAGTACTGGCTTTTGGCTACAAGGCTAAGAGTTTCCCTCTAGATGCTCCCATCCAAAAAAGCTAAGTTTGCTAAATGGTACGTTGCTTTGAAAAGTTTTTGTTTTCAGGTTCACACTAAATCATCGTCGTTTCGAGCTAATGGATCGAGTGAATGAACATTAGATGGATAAGTTTTCTGATTATAGAGCGTTTTACCCCGCCTCAAAACATCTCCCAACAGAATTATTAACTTTCAACTTAAACGTTGCAACCATGCATTGAACTCCAGACAACCTAATTATTCATTGATTTTTTAACCTCCTGATTTTTATGAATGAAGGTGTTACAGCAAGATATAAGAATAAATAATGACCTGACAAAACTACCCATACCCATACAACAAACATGACATATATCCCGAAACACCTTGCTTTGCATAAAAGCGTTTAGATAAGAGCTTATGCTATACTCAGTGTATGTTAATCGGTCTTGCTTCATCTTGACAAGTGGTCCAGGAATTTGTAGAAAAAGCCGTAAAAAGATTGAACAGGTTGGAAATGTGTTGTCGGTGGTAATTCGTCTACAGTGATCGATTTTCAGGAAAAAGGGTTTCCTGTTTCGCTATTAAAAGGAGCTGCTTTTCTCTGGAAATCTTCTGGAAATGTCAATATCTGCAACTGGCGTGCTTCTGATTCTGAAATAACGAGGAAAGAAATTCTACCGTGTGACTTGCGCTTAGCAGTTCAGTTTGATTGTGAAAACATTGACAATAGCCAATTTTCGCTCTGACGTTTGATTCAACTGGCTTGGCGGCTGGAAGGCGGAGCTTTGTGACCGAGTTAACGCCGCTCGCGCCCGCGACGCAGTCTGCACCTCTCCCGCGCGTGCTCTTTGATTTACCTAGCCTTAATTAGGTCAGTTAGGTCAGGCAGCCCCTCTTCCAGCCGCCAAGCCAGTCAAATCGAAGGGTACTAACTTTTGAAATAACTCGGTCCTTCAAAACCAGAACAAAATTCAAGACTCATCCATGCGGATCTGCTATAAAGTTCACCATGGGCAAAACTGCTCCCTTTCAAAAATTAGTACTTGTATGCTTTACAATGCTCACATTGAGTATCGGCCATGCGTAAAATTTCTGATAAGGAAAAAAGTGCACATTACTATGAATGACCGCAATACAAGTCAACTATCAACTATCCTTTGCAGTATTCGCTTCTTCGCATAGGAGTGCCAGGCAGTAGCCATAAATAATTTAAGCTACGGTGTCAGGAGATCACTGAAGAAATCTTAAGTTGGCTTGCTAGGATTCCATGATAACTCGTGTTGGTAGTGTAAGAAGCTGTAAAATTGTTTTGCATAGTCAATAAGCTGAATACATAAGTTTGTCCAGAACTAACAATACAACATACACCACTCCGAGATTGCTGATAAATATAGAGTGTCCCAAGAAATGCGCCTACTGTTTGATTGTTAATAACTCTCTTGAAGTATTAGGTTGTTACATAAGTTTCGTTACACTCAACTGAAAAAAATGCCCATAACCTTCTCAAATGATTTTTCCTTGCCCCCAAACTATGTGTAATGTTGCAGATTTTTGATATATACATGCCACACATGAAAAATCAAATTTTGGATTTTTTTGAAATTTTTTCGAATTATTTTTGGCATATTTCCATTTTTGGTTGATGAAAAGTTTGATCTTCTAAACTGCTTTCGTATTATTAGGTTGTAACTGAATTAATGCAGGTTTTGAATTCCAACCGCAATAAGTCATACAGTTCTCATTTCTAAGTAGGTTGCAAAATACCATTCGATAGAGCAAAGCAATCTCTATAAGGTGGCATTCTTCTTTCAGCAACAACTCTGATCCACCACGAGTTTCGAGCCAAAAACTAAAAAGATTCAACTGTCCGAAAAATTGAGAAAAATCGTAACTCAGTTCATAAAAAACCTACAAAAATTTTAACTTGCTCACGTAAACACTATTTAGTTAAGACATCTATACACGCCTTTGCCGTATTTTTTTTTCTCTGTTAGAAATCAAGAAAACGGAAATTTTCGTGCGTTTGCCAAAG